ATGCATTGTTTTTGAAATAGTCATCTAGTCTAGTGCTTTTTACCAGGGACAGTTCCACCCTCTCACGACCTTGCTCCAGGATATTGGGCAATATCTAGACACATTTTTGGTTGTCACATCAAATTCAGGGGTCCTACCTTACCTCTCTAATGCGTAGAAGCTAATGATATGGGTACACTTTTGTATTACATGCAGGGAAGGCTCTAGAACAAAGAATTATCCTATCCAAAATGTTAGTAGCACCACTGTTGAAAAACCTTGCTAATCTAACCCTGTTGAAGAGGCATAACTTAGCTCTGGTCCTAAGCAGTGGCTAGTGGGAAACCCGGAAAGAACAGATGTTCCAGCCCAAGGTCTTCCCCGTGTCTGTGTCCCCATACAGACAATGCCTATAAGGACTTAAATGATACCTAGTATATAGTGTAGATTGGTCAGTAGTATGATAATGGTAGAGAAAGCAGGGTGTTATGCAATGTGGAATTTGACCTCATTTCTATGCAAATAGAAGAATGAATATACCCATTTTCTTCTAGGAAATTGTTTACTGCAGCGGGCAGCTGGAGCAGGAAATGAGGCAGCAGCACTTTTCCTAGCGACCAATGGTGCCCATGTCAACCACAAAAACAAGTGGGTAAGTGTGACAAGGCAGGGAAAATGGTTTTGGTCTTTGAAAGAAACAATAGTGATAAATGTGTAGGAAAAATGAAACAAGATTCTTTATGCCCGTTGTAGTAGCACATACCTGTAATCCCAGTGGCTGGAGGGGTGCTGAGACAGGAGGATCTTGTGTTCAAAGCCAGTCTCTGCAACAGTGAGGTACTAAGCAACTCAGTGAGACCCTGTTTCTAAATAAAAAAATACTAGGGCTAGGATGTGGTTCAGTAGTTGGAGTGTTGCTACATTTTATCCTCAGTACCAAAAAAACAAAAGTATTATTCAATTTTTGTGAAAATTATATATGCAGATTTTTAAAAAAGGTAAAAAAGATTATTTTATGTATTCTTAAATATTGGCTGTTTGGTTCATTCAGCAACCATTTAAGTATTTGTTGTGTGTATCAGGCCCTGAATTAGATACTGTGGACTTTATTTTCTAATAGAAAGTAGCAAACATGCACATACAAACCTACTATAATATGATCTTGATTCTTTGTAACACTTTGTATTTGCCGGGGTTCTTCTATGTGGTTGTTGATTTAGTCCCAAGCTAATAAGTAAACTGTATAGTAACTCCGCTTATCTGTAATTTCACTTTCAGCAGTTTTGGTTACCTATGGTCAACCATGGCCTGGAAATAGTAAGTGGAAAATTCCAGAAGTAAACAATTCATAAGTTTTAAATTGTGCACCATTCTGAATAGCATAATGAAATCTTGGCACTGTCTTACTCCATCATGCCCAGAGTGTGAATCATTCGTTTACCCAGTATATCCATTCTGTATATGCTACTGATCCATTAGTCACTTAGTAGCTGTGTAAGTTATATCAGCTGTCCTAGTATCATAGTGCTTGTGTTCTAACAGCCCTTATGTATATGTTCAAGTAATCTAATAGGGTGTCACAATGCCTAAATCATTTATCTTACTTCATCTCATTACGTAGGCATTATTATATCATCTATATTATCACACAAAAGATGATAAAGAACAAAAGATATTTTGAGAAAGACCACATTTGCATAACTATATAGTATTTTGTTAAAATTGTCTTATTTTATTATTAGTTACTATTTCCTTTTGTGCCTAATTTTTAAGTTAAACTTTATCCTAAATACATATGTATAAGAAAAAACACAGTATATGTAAGGTTTGTTACTATTTGTGGTTTTAAGCGTCTTCTGAGAATAGTTATAAAACATATCCCCTATGGACAAGGGTGCCTACTAAACAGAGTTATGGTTAAAAGTGTGACTTTTGGGGTTGAACATTACTAAGTTTATCAGCTTTTCCATTTCTTAGTCTTAAGCAAGTTACTTAAACATTCTGAGCTTCAGTTTCCTAATTTATAAAATGGAATTAATCCTGATGTGGGGATGATAAAAATAAATGATATAGCATATATTACATAATATCTGGAATGTTCAATCCTAAATGTAGTTGTTTTACTTTATTATTTTCAGACTGAGAGGAATGTGCTTACCTTTTACATCTACTTTGTAAGAGTTTTTGAGGTTATTACCCCTTTAAATTCTTAAAAATGTACCTAGAAGCAGCATGTATTATTAGGATTGCAGAAACATTTTTCATATCTATACATCCCTTAATTCATGGTGAAGGACCTTGAGGTTTTGAGGGGTTAAGTATTGGAGCCAGTATTAAGACCCAGATACTAAGAAATATAGTCATCCTCTTTTGACAGCATTGGACAAAGCAGTAAGCAATAAAGCATGGTATCCGAGACATTGCAAAGTATCTTGGGAGCACAGGGGCAAGGACAGTGTTGTCCTTTCCTCCATTAAATCTCATCTGTCTACACACATGGCCTACACTTCAATTGAAATTATTGAATGTACTTATACTCACTGGAAGCTGGTTTCTTTTGTTTTGTTTTTCCAGTGCTAGGGATCAAACCCATGGCACTGTACCTGCTAGACAAGTACTCTACCCCTGAGCTCTGTCCTCTATTTTTGAGGTCTGCCTCTCATCCCTCTCACCCTTTCAGAAACTTTGCTTCTACCATTGTATGGCTCTGTCTCTAATTGGCTGTCTCTCTTCTATTATTAATTTTTCTCACTGTTCATTCTGATAGTAGAGAGACATGCTGTATCTTCTAACTTTAAAAAAATCCTCCCAGGAGACCACATTGTCTACCAGCTCTTGATCTCCTTCATAGCAAAACTAGGTGAAACCTAAGATGTTCAGATATAGGGGAGACCTGATGTGAAAGTAAGAGAGAGTCACAATAGAGAAAGCCCTGGCGTGCTGATTTAAAAGCATTTGGGCTTTATGTGGAGGAGATCCCAAAGGGGTTTTGGGCAGAAGAACAGTATGATCATTTTAGAGTTGAGAGAGCTGCCTGGGATGGCTACCATGGTGAGTGTGCCATTGATTCCAGGTCTGAGACAGGTAGGAATCATCTACAATGACTTGTCCTGACGCCTCTTATTGGGTTTAGATCCAAAGTGATAAGTTTCAGAGGAATTGCAGAATTGTAGTCACCAGGCCATGCCTTCTTACGGCTCCCAGAAGCAAGGATGAGAGAGGTATTAAAACTGTCTTGGGGGCTCTGGTTGTAGCTCAGTAGTGGAGCACTTGCCTTGCAAGTGTGAGGCACTGGGTTCGATCCTCAGCACCATATAAAAATAAAATAAATAAAGGTATTGTGTTCACCTACAACAATAATTTTTAAAAAATTGTTTTGGTATACCTTTGAAAAGAAAGAGGGTGCTGGTTAGGAGGAGGAACTGGCATGGAGGGAGTACATTCTACTGCAGTTGTTGAATTCTTTCTAAGCATTTAGTCAGGGATAGCTAGAGGGCAGTGGGAAAACTGGATGTAAAAACAAGGCTGGAGACCTGGGTTTGTAGATACTGGTAGAAGCCTTGGGAGTAGGAATGCACACCTGGTAAGAATATTTAGGAAGAACGGCTGGATGGGAGGTAGTCTAAGGAGGAGGATAGACCTGGTGGCTCTCAGCACAATTGTAATGAAGTTCTGTAGTGTGGGAGGTGCATGTGGGTCAAGGAGTGAGAGTGCTTAATTTTCCTTATCTTCCACAGATAAAGTAGAGGTCTGACAGATAAAGTCTTAAGCTGGAAAGTCAAAAGGTAGCAATAACAAAACATTAGTTAGAACCATGGGGATTATAAATGCCCAAATGAAAGAGTTAAAAGTGATTTCCTCTGGGAAAGGAGAATTTTGAGAGAAAAAGGGGATAGGATCTAACTATTTTTCACCAAAAGTCTCTTTCCATGATGATAACTGTGATAAGAGCAAGGTACAGAGCAATATGTTTGTTTTATTTCTGTTAGTTTGGGTTCAAAAAACTCTACTAAGTATATGCCTATATACATACACAAACATATACACACACACTCATCTACATTTGCCCATTTTTCCTTATGAATATTCTGCCACTGGAGAGAAATGTGAAACTAGTAATAATAGTTCCATTAGAAGATACTTGGGTGTTGGGTACTGGTGTGAGAAGAGACATCTTTTTACTGTGTTAAAAAATGGATGAAGAAGGTCTTGATCAGAGTTCAGGTGGTATTGATATGAACAGGTTAAAGAAGCAGGGTGTAATGGGGAGTTAAAGACAATGATGTCAAACTGTTAATACAGCTAATGAGACTCTTCTGTTTTCTACAGTGTTTATTTTGGTGACACTTGGTGATAGTTTGCTAATGTAGTTTTATAGCAAGCATATATTATTTTTATGCTTAAAAAATTATTATGGAAATAAAGTGAAAGATGGTTAAGGAAGTGAAGATGGTAATAGGAGGTGAAGAAGATTGGAAGCCAGGGTATTTGGAAGATGATTGGGAAGAGATAGGGGAAAGGGAATCAAAGTCACAGGAGTCGCAACAGGAGGGGTGGGAGAAAAACGGAAAGGGCAGGGGATTAGCAGGAGCGGTGGAATGTGGATGGATATCATTATCCAAAGTACATGTATGAAGACTCAAATTGGGTGTCAACATACTTTATATATAAACAGATATGAAAAATTGTGGTGTATATGTGTAATAAGAATTGTAATGTAAAAAAAGTATATGTATAAAGGCATGAATTGGCGTGAACATACTCTATTTACAAAGATATGAAAAATTGTACTCTATATGTGTAATAAGAATTGTAATGCATTCCTCTGTCGGGTATTTAAAAAAAATAAAATCAATTAAAAAAAAAGTAGCGACAGGATAAGCCAGTGGCAGACTGGGCATGAACCAGCTCACATCTGGTAACCATATGAACCAAGGATTGTGGCTGGCATTGAGGACCAGAGTTTCAGCACTTATTCTATCTTTATCCCTTTGTGAATAGAACCTCTAGCCAGCAGGTACTCAGATTTGTGCCATTTGTTTGTGTTCAGGGAGAAACCCCATTGCACACAGCTTGCCGGCATGGCCTGGCCAACCTCACAGCAGAGCTCCTGCAGCAAGGTGCCAACCCAAACTTGCAGACAGAGGAGGCTCTGCCTTTGCCAAAGGAGGTCACATCCCTAACCAGCTCCATGGACAATGTGTATCTGCAGACGCCGCTTCACATGGCAATTGCTTATAATCATCCAGATGTGGTATCTGTCATCCTGGAGCAGAAAGGTAAGTAGGAAGGAATTCTGCCCATCAGTTTGACCTAGCAGACAGCAGTTTGGAGTAGTTAATTTACAGAGTTGATGTTTGCTCTTTTGGTGATTTTTTTTATAGCCAGTTTCTTACTAGAAACATCCTTTCAGGTTAGACTACATCAGTTTACAGTCTGTCTCTTGACTATCCTCTTTCCCTATGTATGTATTCAGGATGTTCACCTGGCAGGTTAAGATGTGAGAACAGGTGACTCTGCTCTCCCTTGTTCTGGGGTCATTTTCTAAGCCATTTTAGTGTAAGTCAAGCAAAGCTTTGCTATGGCATGAACACTGTCTTTGAGAATTCTGTTGTGGTTTCCTGTGAGTTAGTCAGCACTCTGTGTCTCTGAGCCTCCCTGGAGGTAACCCATGAGATAGGAACCAGAAAAAGAGACCAAAGAAGCCCCTTGCAGGAGACTTGCTTCCTCAAAAAGTCCTCGGTTTTTCTCTTTCCCGTCTTGAAGTTTGTTTTACTCTTGCCTAGTTCTTCAAAAGTCCAGCACTTTTTAGCATTGTGCTTCTGAAAGGAAGCAAGATCTTAAGTAGAATGTTCTTTTTTCTTGATCTTTTGAAGGAGCTGAAAGATTGTAGGAATTAAATATGAGGAAAACATTGTCAAGACATTGTTTCAACCCTCTTTCTAGTAATCATGTAATTGATGTGTGTTTCTATAGTGGAGTCAGTTTTCAAAAGAATTAGAGTTTCAATATTTTTTAAAAATTCATTTCCCTTGTAAACTTTGATCCAAAATATAAGATTTTAGTCTTCCACTCCCCACAAGAGAATAGCAGTGATCATATTATAGCCAGCTAGTCAGTTTGAAACTGAACTTTTATTCTTTTGAATGATTTAAATGTGATCCATGGGATAGTGAAATCAAGTGTTCTTTTTCTTTTCAAATAATTTAGCCAATGCTCTTCATGCCACCAACAACTTGCAAATTATTCCGGACTTCAGCCTCAAGGATTCCCGGGACCAGAATGTGCTGGGCCTGGCATTGTGGACTGGTAAGGTGGTTCTAGAGAGTATTGATGTCTAAAGACATATGTCAGAAGAGTAGATGGATGAATGGGGTGAGGAGGAGTGAAGCTAATTATTTGGTGTTAGAGTAACCTCTGTTTGGGTTAAGCTTATGATGTCCAGTGGGAAACTAATGACTTTGAAAAGTTGAGAGGGAATGTTTATTGTAGTAAGATGAGGAAGTGGGAAAAGCTCAACATTCGTTAATCAGGATTTGTTTGTTTCCCAGGCATGCATACCATTGCAGCCCAGCTACTGGGCTCCGGGGCTTCCATCAATGACACCATGTCAGATGGGCAAACCTTGTTGCATATGGCCATACAGCGGCAGGATAGCAAGAGTGCACTCTTTCTCCTGGAGCATCAGGCAGATATAAATGTCAGGTGGGACTCTCTGCTGTAATACTGAGATCATATATAACTGAGATGGTGCAAATATAGCCTTGGTTGTACAAAATATTCTTATTACTTAAGGGAAGGGAAACAGCAGTTCTAAAAAAGTACAAATGCAAGGTTATAAACTGAATATAATTTACTGATACAAGTGGAACTGAACTTTGATCTTTTTTTGTTTCTTTTAATATTTATTTTTTAGTTGTAGTTGGATATAATATCTTTAATTAATTAAAGATAGTAATTAAATTTATTTATTTTTATGTGGTGCTGAGGATCAAACCCAGGGCCTTGCCTATGCTAAGTGAGTGCTCTATTGCTGAGCCACAACCCCAGCCCCCTGAACTTTGATCTTGTTGGAACCTCAGGACCAGTGCACAAGATTGCACAACTATCATTAAAAAGAACAATCTGAAAATTGTTTTGTTTTGTTTTGTACCGAGGATTAAACCCAGGGTCGATTAACAACTGAGCCACATCCCCATCCCTTTTTATTTTTTATTTTGAGACAGGGTCTCACTGGTTGCTTAGAGCTTTTGTTCAGTTACTGAGGCTGACTTTGAACTTGCTATCCTCCTACTTCAGCCTCCTGAGTCACTGGAATTATAGGTGTGTGCCACCACACCTGGCTCAAAATCAGTTCTTAGAATTTCAGTTATGAAGAATGTCCCAACAAATAAACTACAAACAAGGCTTAAGAGAGAAAAACACAGACTTAAATTTTTAGTGTGATTGCTTTTTTCAGAGGAATTTATCTTTATCCCCAATATCAAGTGACTCTGAATGACCTGAGAGTGGGGCAAAGAACTGGTTTCTGGTTTTTCATTTTGTTTTTGGTACCCGGGATTGAACCCAGGGGTGCTTAACTATTGAGACACATCCCCAGTCGTTTTTTTATATTTTATCTAGAGACAAGGTCTTGCTAAATTATTAAGGCTATCTTTGAACTTGTGATCCTCCTGCCTCAGCCTCCCCAGCTGGTGTGTGCTACAGGGTCTTGTGCAAAGAAATTGGTGGTTGGAGTGGCATTTGTTTTATTGGCATTTTAGTAAGATGCTGTTAGACTGGGATTGTAACTTATTGGTAGAGCATTTGCCTAACAGGTATGAGACCCTGGGTTTGATTCCTAAGCACCACCACCAAAAAATAAAAGTAGTGGCTTACCTCTGTGATCCCAGTAACTCAGGAGGCTGACGCAGGAAGATCTCAAGTTCAAGACCAACCTCAACAAACTTTGTGAAACCCTATCTCAAAATAAAGAAAAAACAAATTAAAACACAAAAAAGAAAGTGCTAGAGATGTAGCTCAATGGTAAAGCACCACTGAATCAATCCCTAGTACCCAAAAAAAAAAAAAAAGTTGGTCAGTTATTATCAGGGTGTAATAGGGTGACATTTTCTAAACGTGTCTCTCTCTTCGTGTGTGTGTGTGTGTGTGTGTGTGTGTGTGTGTTCTAAAAAGCAATCAGAGTAGATACTACTGAGAGGTTTAATTTCTCTGAGAAAATTCTAATGACCGTGAATGAAGTATGTTTAAGGGATGTAGTGAAGTCTGGACTCTGGAGTGCCCAGGAGGGCACTCTTTTTCTTTTGACTCTAGCTACAAATATTAGTTTTGGTTTGGTGTGCATGTTCCAGCAGGACTCAGGATGGGGAGACAGCCCTTCAGCTGGCCATCAGAAATCAGCTTCCGCTCGTAGTTGATGCCATATGCACCCGAGGAGCTGACATGTCCGTTTCAGACGAGAAAGGGAACCCCCCACTGTGGCTTGCGTTGGCAAATAATTTGGAAGACATCGCATCCACTCTGGTGAGACAAGCATAACGTTAGTTTTGGCTTACAGATGGGACTATTGTGTCAGGAATGGATTTGGTGCCTACATAGTGATCACAGGAACAAGAGATCTGCCATGTACTAGCAGATTAAGGACGAGGACAAGCAGTTGAAAGTCACATTAAAGAAATTTTCAGTTGGTCTTGGCCAACACTTTTGTTTTTAAGCTGACTTTACCAAGAAAACCACTCAGAAGCAAAAAATTGTAGGGATTTCTTCAGTGTCTTCTATGGTATTAATTTGGTATGGACTCCCCTCACTAAATTTTCAAATCTCAGGTTTGTCTTCCTATTTACAAGACCAGCCCCCAAAGTGTAGGTAAACCTTGTCTTTTCTCCTTAGTTCTCTGAAAGGCCTGCAGTGTGACATGAAGGCATTTTGCACCTAGGATATATACCTATTATTATTGTGATTACCTGTTAATTATAGGTATACTATATGTGTTGCTGGGGGCTTTTGAGTACCTATGTGAGCAGGTACCTGTATTTTCTCGACCTTCTACCACATAGCTCTAGAGGCACTAATTAAACATGTTTATATTTCCCAGACTACAGAGCAGATTTTAACTAGTGTTTGTAAAACTAATGATTAATACACACTAAAGTAATTATCACTTAATTATCAACCACATCTTACCTGGAAAATGGATCTAATGCTGTACATATAGCTCAGGTTTGACAATACATTTTTTACTTTTGCTTGATGATATTTATAAGAAATCTCATATTTTTCTGCAGGTCAGACATGGTTGTGATGCCACATGCTGGGGTCCAGGACCTAGCGGTTGCCTCCAAACACTTCTGCACAGAGCTATTGATGAAAACAATGAGTCCACTGCCTGCTTTCTTATTCGCAGGTCTGTGGTGCCCAAGTATCTCTTGAATCTTTTTATCCAGCTTCTCACAAACTGCCTCTTATGTTAATCTACCTCCAGTCTCGACTAATTTATAGTTATTTAAACTTGACTTTCATAGTTCAGACTGTTAGAGAGTCAGCCAACTCTAGTTAACCAAGGGTGGGTTCACTTGAGGAGAGGGGCCCACATGCTGGGATTTAAAACTCTAAAAGCTGAGGCAGCATATGTTTTGAGAGTTGCATATCTCTTGGGGAACTTATTGATTCTAATGCCCATGTTGCTTCAAGACCATTGCAAAAGAATCTGTGGCAGTTGCACCCATACCCTAATTTTTGAGGCTAGGAACAGGATAGCAGACTGGCAGTAGCAGCTTTTTGGTAGATTGGGTGAGACTGCTGCTTTCCATTCATCAGCATGCCTGTAGATGAGGTGGAAGCCTTTTGTTTCCCCCTTTCTTTCAGTGGCTGTGATGTGAATAGTCCCAGACAGCCAGGTGCTAATGGAGAAGGAGAGGAAGAAGCCAGGGATGGGCAGACTCCCTTGCATTTGGCAGCTTCCTGGGGACTGGAAGAGACTGTGCAGTGTCTTCTGGAGTTTGGTGCCAATGTAAATGCACAGGTAGGTATTTCTCCTTTCCAGAGAAATAGAGATAACTGCACAGTTAGGGAAATTGCATCTTATGGGATGGGAAAGGCCTTTGCAGGTTGCCTGTAAGAGGCCTTTACTGTACCACGAAGAGGGATTTAGTATTGTTACCAGCATCCTAGGCCAGAACCTGACTTTAGTGGTCCCAGCAGACCAGTTCCAGTCACTTGCTGAAAACATCCAGTAGAAAAGGAAATGGTAAAAAGCAGGGGAAAAAAATTAATCAGAGCTGGGCGTGGTGATGCATGCCTGTAATCCAAGTGGCTCAGGAAGCAGAGTCAGGAGGATTGTGAGTTCAAAGCCAGCCTCAGCAGTTTAGAGAGGCACCAAGCAACTCAGTGAGACCCTGCCTCTAATAAAATACAAAATAGGGCTGGGGATATGGCTCAGTGGTTGAGTGCCCCTGAGTTTAATCCTTAGTATCCTTCCCCCCAAAATTTAAATCAGTATAACCATATTGGGAAGGCTTAAGTGAGCTCCAGCATCTGAGCCCCCTTTTTTCCCTAATATTTTAACTATCTATCTAATTATTTATTTTCAGCCCTGTTTTCAGTTTGGATTTTGGTTTTTGAATATATATTTTTTAGTTATAGATGGACAGGTGACTCTATTTTATTTATTTTTATGTGGTGTTGAGGATCAAACCAGTGCCTCACACATAGTAGGCCAGCATTCTACCACTGAGCCACAACCCCAGCCCCTGTTTTTCAGGTAGTTAATAGGAGCTTTAGGGTTAATAGTGGAAGGGTTTGGGCTGGGTGTGAAAGGTATGCATAATTAAGCAGTCTTGGTCCACTGTGGTCTGACTGATCATTCTTTCAGTTCTGGTTCTGTGAAATGGATGGAGAAGTCTTTTTCACTTGGGGTGCTTTATAGGGACCTGTGATTTGGAAGCAGGCAATTCAGTTCCCATGGTGTGATTGCTCCAACGGTTTCTGGAAAGTGCAGGACATGGACTAAAGATTTCTAGGTGCCATTCCAGAACTGAAAACTGGTTGCCACAATCTTGCCTCAATCTTGAAGGGGTACGAGATAGGTTAAGTAAATTTAGAGCAAATAAGCTTTGTATTACTAGCTTTTAGTTGAACACTCTTTAAATGCTTAACATTTATACATGAAGAGATGAATATTGTGACAAAATTTAATATAGGAGACAGATACAAAATGAAAGCACAGGGGGTGGGGTTGTGGCTCAGTGCTAGAGTGCTTGCCTAGAATGTATGGAACACTGGGTTTGATTCTCAGCACTGCATCTAAGTAAATGAATAAAATAAAGGTTCATCAACTAAAAAATATATATATACATATATAATACACATATAAATAAATAGGTATATAATGGCTCATCCACAAATATATATATCGAAAAAGACTTCTCCATCCATTTCACAGCACCAGAACTGAGAGAATGATCAGTCAGACCACAGTGGACCAAGACTGTTTAACTACATATTTTATATATATAAAATCAAAGCATAGAGGCCAAAATTTATCTTGCTTTTATTTAGCCATTGAGCATCTGCAGGCCTAAGTAAAGAGTCACTTCTTTTAGTAGAAGCAGCCTTTCTATGTCCCTGTTTAGTATGACAGATGACTTTCTCTGATTCATATAGCCAGTCTAGTAATTATAATGATTCCAGGTTAAGGCTTTTCTTCTCTGTGCCTTTGTCCTTATTACAGCATGAGAAATGTTTTGTTTTGTTTTGTATTGTTTTGTTTTCCTCTATTGTTCCATGACTCCTACTTCCCATTAGGTATAGATTTCCACAGAGAGCTGAGTATTGTGTTTAGTATAATGTTCCTTGATACACTTCAGTATTCTGGCCTACGAAAGTTTATATCTGATACCCCATGGCTCTTTATCAGCTGCTAAGATAAGGAATATTAGTATATCTTGGAGGTGAGAATGAATGCAAATCTTGTAAAACAAATGTTTGTGCTGGGCCCAGTATTGCCACTGGATGCATGGTGTAGCAGGAAGTGGCAATTAGTCATTCCTCTAATTAGTTTGGCCTCTTTAAAACCTGATTGCAAGCTGGGTGTGGTGGTGCATGCCTGTAATCCTAGTGATTTGGGTGGCTGAGGCAGGAAGATCACAAGTCAGCAACTTAGCGAGGCCCTAAGCAACTGAGGGACACCCTGTCTCAAAAAATAAAAAGGGCTGGAGATATGGCTCAATGGAAAAGCATGCCTGTGTTCAATCCTCAGTGCAATAAAACGGCTGATTGCAAACACAGGATGGTAGTTTTTATTCTTACAACTGAAATTCTATCTAAAAGTTATCTCCCTTCATATTTTTCTTTTTATCTTTCAACTGGATATTGCAATCTTGCTTTGTTCTCATAGGATGCAGAAGGCAGAACACCTGTCCATGTGGCCATCAGCAACCAACACAGTGTCATCATTCAGTTGTTGATTTCTCACCCTGATATCCACTTGAATGTACGAGACAGGCAAGGGTTGACCCCATTTGCCTGTGCCATGACTTACAAGAACAACAAGGCAGCTGAGGCCATTCTAAAACGAGAGTCTGGAGCAGCTGAACAGGTGAGTGACAGACACCCCCATTTTTACCAGCAGAACCTCTTACACGAAGACAAAACAAATGTCACCTACTAAACAGAGCTCTTCTATATAAAGTCATTTGTTTTGGAATTATCCTCCACTTTCTGAAAACTTGACCATTCAGATGTCCTGTGAGTGCCAGTTGAAAAGTGATATGACCATTCTGCTCTGTATGTTAGCCACATGATGATGTACTCTTAGGTGGAAGTGGGAGCTTGCTGGGTCTAGTGATAGGAATTCTGTGGTGTGTACAATTGATTTCATTCTCTGCTTTTGCTGGTGTGTTAACTGCCTTAGTGATGAATGTTTTAGAAGGACTTTTGTATTCCTTGCACAGGATCCGTGCTAATCTCTGTATTGCTCCAATTTTAGTATATATGCTGCTGAAGTGAGCACTAAAAAAATGATTTAAATTGAATTTGAGGAGCTTGTATTTTGATGTTGAACAAATTTCTAAGTGTTTTAGAAGAGTTAAATTGTTACTCAGCATAGCTGGCCCAGTTGTCCTTGTCTTTGTGGCTCTTTATCAGCTGCTAAATCTGGATAGTGACTTGTTGACCTACAAAGAGTGGGTGGAAAATGACAGTAAACATGGATCTGAGCCGGGAGCTTGAATGGATTTGTCAGTCAGTCTCTCTGAAACCCTAATCTCCAGCCAGCTTGGAGAATACTGCCAGGATTTACAAATAGCCATTTATGAAGGTGAGATGGAGATGTGGAACCTGAATGAAATTCAGTCCTAGTGTGGTGAAGATTATTGCTTGGTATTTCAGGCTTCTGTACATCTCCTTTCTTCAGCATTTTCGTAAGTGAGACTGCATTGCTAGGTGTTAACCTCACAGTCACTCAGATAGTGTAAAATGTTCATGAGTGGAGAAAGTTGTCTCACATTTCCTCTCCATCTACTATGGAACTAGTACTGTTTGTTCAAGTCCTTTGCAGATATGTTGCTTGTTACATCAGCATGTGCTGTGGACATTTGTGTGTGAGGTAATTATGTGTGGAGCATGTGGTGTCTCTCTCACTTCCACCTGAGCACTCATACTAATGACAGTTCATGTAACTGCAGTGTGTAGTATGGTTTGATTTGAGTGAGGTGTCTGCTTTACATTAGTGGGTCAAAGTCCATGACATTATATTGGCTTCCTCTGTCATTGTGTTTCACCTATAGAAACTTGCTCCAAATTTCCAAACCCTCTGTTTGACTCACTGGGGATGTGGCTCAGTAGTAGCATGCATGAGGCCCTGGGTTCAGTCTGTAGCACCACACACACACTCACACATACACAAAATCAAGGGTCAAGCTGGCATTTAGTTGTGGTGTTAGGACACTGGGTGCTTGATTTAAGCCAAAGCGAATAGATTCCCAGAATTGGTCTTCACCTTTGACTCAATCTGAGCACCCCAATATTTTGGTAATTTCCTTTCTCTTTCCTTCAGTTTGTCTCTTTCTTAGCTTCCAATGCCTAGTTCCTGCTGCAGGAGGATGCTGAAACAGCTTGGATCAATGCAGTGGCTTCCTTCCCCTGACCACTTGAATGTGACCATGCACATATGATTATGTGCACAGATGCATAAAGTGGGTCTGTTCTGGGGTGTAGGGCTGGAGGTGGCATTTAGTGTTGGTTTTTTGGGAGGGAAGTTCTGAAGGACTACATCATGACGCTCCAGTTATTAGCACAGCTTGCAGAAGCTCAAGAGGCACTCTTAAAAGGGAGTCTACTAATATTTTGGTTCCTACTTTATTGCCTTAGGTGGATAACAAGGGCCGGAATTTTCTTCACGTGGCAGTTCAGAACTCTGATATTGAAAGTGTCCTGTTCTTGATCAGTGTCCAGGCTAATGTGAATTCCAGAGTCCAGGATGCTTCCAAGTTGACTCCTTTGCATCTCGCTGTCCAAGCAGGCTCAGAGATTATTGTCCGCAATTTGGTAAGTGACACAGAAATATTGTTGCATGTTTCCACTCCCCTGGGTTTCTTCACTTATCATCCTGACCTCACACCCCTACACCCCATCCTCTAGGCACCTTCTTTAAAGCTCTATTAACTCAAACACATTTCAAGTTGCAAAGATTTTCTAAAAAGTGTTTTTCAAAAACAAAAACACCCCAGATGGAACATGCTGGAGTGAGGCCTTGAGGATCAGTAGGATTTGGATAGTTGAGGCAGGGTGGGAGAAGAAAAGGAGTGGAGGTCATTTAAGAGCCATCTCTTTTAATTTTTAAAACTGCAGAGGGGTATAGGAAATTATTTTATGTTTTATGAAGGAGAAAATTTAGGTTCAGAAAACCCCTCCAAGGCCATCAGCTAGTTGTGTAGCTGGGAATTTAGAAATTCCTGTTTGACCTAAAAGCCTGCAACATGATGTCTGGCATGGGAACAGTCTGAGCAAAGATGTGGAAACTGGAAAATACATGTGGTGCTTTTTTTTTTTTTTTGGTTTTGTTTGTTTGGTACTGAGGATTAGACCCAGGATTATTTAAACACAGAGCTATATTCCTAGCCCTTTTTGTTTTTTATTTTGAAATAAAAATTTGAAATTTTATTCAAAATAAAAAAATAAAAAGGGCCTAATGCAGTTGCTTAGGGCCTTACCAAGTTGCTGAGACTGGCTCTGAACTTGTGATCCTCCTGAGCTGCTGGGATTACAGACATGTGCCACAGTGCCCAGTTACATTTTATATAGGAAAGCTGGGTTGAAATTTGAGTAGAGAGTTGAAAGAAATTTGAAGTGGCAAGAAGAGACCAGATTGTGGAGCATCAATTACAAATCAAGACCTTTATTTGCAAGCAATGAAGAAACCACACTAAGTGTTGGAGCTGAAAGAATGGTCCCAAGCCGAGATAGAGCTTCATGTCACTTGGCCTGGTCTTCAAGAGGTAGTTGTCCCTGGTGCCTCCCATCAGCCCCAGGTGCACACTGCAGAACTGGCCACAAGAACACTTGGCCAGCCTTTGGTGCTATGGTGTTTTGTTTTGAAAAGCACATTTTAGAAAAGCTTTATTACTTGATTTGTGTTTGAGTTGAGAGAGCTTTTAGAGAAGGTGCCAAGTGGATACAGTGTATGGGTGTGGGGCAAGATGACCAGTGAAGAGACCCAGGGGAGGCAGTGGTGGCAAGCTATAGACTAGAGAGGTGGAGGATGTAGGGCTGATGGTGACAGGCACAGACTGCATGCAGGGATAGCAGCCAAGAGATGTAGTGGTGAATTAGCCTTGTTCACCAGTCTGTCTCACATCTCAGAGCCTAGGAAACACTGAGGTCCTCCACCAAGGTCATGTTCGTGTCTTACTGCAGCTTGACCTCACACATGACACAGGTACCTAGTAATAGCTGACCTTCCAAACAGTGTCCCTGTGGTGCTTCCTCTGAATTGATGCAACAAAATATTCGAACCTGTTCACATTGAAAGCACACTGTGTCCATCCCTTTCTCTCCTTAACCAACCTTGGGATTGGCTATGATCCCTAGCCATAGCACTAGTGACTATGGATATCCCTCTAGGTATGTCCTACCTGGAGGGTCCCATATCCACTCATGATTGGTCCTGTGTATGATGGATTTGATTGGGTCCTAAGAGTTCTGAGGAGGCTAGGACTTAAGTCCAGGTGAAAAACAAGAGCAGCTCATCAGTGTCTGTATTCTCCCAGAGGCATATGCTTGTACTCACAGATAGAGGAACCTGGGGGAAGGGTAGCAGGCCCCAGAAAAGGCAAATTGGGCTGTAACTACAAACTGCTGAGTATTTCCTGTTAATAGCAACTGCCTTAGAAGCTTTGTCATAAAGTGGATGATGATGAATGAATTTCTAATACTAAATGAACAGGCAAGATATTATTTCTGCCTTTGATCCTATAATTTGTACTCTTTTTAAAAATAGTATGAAAATGGTACATGTTCATTGTGGAATTTAATGTTATGAAACCTATCTCCCTTTCACTTCCAGCTTTCCTCAGATTTTGTTATATAGTCATTTGCAGCTGAACAACAGGGTTATGTTCTGAGAATTCTTTCTGCTGTATGTGTTTTTGTCATTGTACCAGCTTCATGGAGTGTGCTTACAGCTGGGTATGGTGGCATATGCCTCTGATCTTTGTGACTTGGCAGCTGTGGCAGGAGGATTACAAGTTTGAGGCCGGCCTGGTCAATTTAATGAGTTCCTGTCTCAAAATAAAAAATAAAAAGGATTGAGGAGATAGCTCAATGATTAAGCACTCCTGGGTTCAATCCCCAGTACCAAAAAAGGGAAATTTTTTAAAAAGTGTACTTACACAAAGATGGCTGCAATGTCACTAAGCAATAGACTCTTACCATCTTCATGTATGTGTTCCATTGTTGAACAAAGTGTCATTTCAGCACATGGCTATGCTATTGAATATGTTTAAATTATGTCTTTATCTGTACACATGTGCATGCATGTGTGTATACATATCTGTCTCCAAATGAAGCCAAGCTATCTTCTAACTTGCCTTAAAAACAAAGAAACACAAAACACACTTTTTTTTAATTACTTTGCATTAGTTTAAATCCTTGAAGGGTACAGCAACACAAATTCTGTGCCTGGTATCCTTAGCTGGAAGATTGCTTTGGGATTTGGCACAAACTGTGCAAGTTACCTTTCCCCAGATTGCATTGGTTTCATTCAATCTGCTATTAGGAGTCACTGTGTATTTCATTGCTTTTTGTTTTTTCTCCACATTTTTTTATTGGTGCATTATAGTTGTACATATTGGTATTCATTACTTTTTATACATAAGCGTGACTCTTGACTAAGAGTAGAATTTAGTTTTATCCCAAATATAAACACCTTAATTTTAAGAAGAACAGGAAGCTACTTTTGGTTCCAGAGACTCCACATCTGCCAACAACAACAACAACAACAACAAAAAAGCCTTGCACCACAACTTCCAAATGTACTTGCTTTTAGGAGTCTTCTTCTGAGCAGGCCTCCACAGTCTCCAAGATGGCAGAAAGAGGTGCCTTCTTAATTTTTAACTTAATTGTGGTTGGTATCTTTCTGTGTTAATTTATATATATTTATCATCATAATGGTCACCTTACTTTATTGTTTGCATATTCAAATTTTTATAACCAGTCCCTTTTTGCTGTCAGCTTTTACTATTGTAAACAGTGGACAACTTTATATAGTAGCATAAATATCACTTCAGTCCTGTATAGTTTTTATATACCAGAGTCCTAGAATTAGAACTCCTCTGCCCCAGGGAATAGCTGTTGAATATTTTGGTAGCTAATTGCTCATTTGCTCTGGTACAGGTTTTGCCAGGTTTCCTCACCAGGACTATGTCTGAGGCCCATGTGCACCCAGCTTTGCCAACAGGGTGGACCATCAGTCTCAGTGGATATCAGAAGAGAGACAAGCTTGGCCCCATAAAT